GGCTGCGAGCGCCTGGGGGGGGAGCGTGTGTTGTCCGCCTCAGCCGCGGCTCTGCGTCATCTGGCTTTTCCAGATCGCTCGGGAAAATAATTACCCGTGCTACGAGTTTTTCGTGAAAGTCCTAAGGTATTAGCTAGGAATGTTAATTATAATCCTGTATATCTGGATTTAATTTTAATAGACCTTGGAACTGTGTGATTGATTTCTAGAAGGAAAAAAATTGACCGGTGGCAGTGGTTCTGTATCAGTTACCTCCAGCTGTCTTGAAGCAGGATAGCTGTTGGTCCCCAGCTTCTGGTAGTCAGTTATCCAAAACACATAATAATTTTTTTAAAATGATAATACTCTTGTGGTGAGTTAGAGAATGCATTTGTTTATAAATTGTACTTACTGTGGCCTCCCCCCTGCAGGGCTTTACAGAACAGCGGTGGTTCCCAGACCGTGGTCTTCTCAAGGGAACAGAGCTGGCTTTACTCATCGCTGAACTATGTCTTTAGTCAATGCCATTTTTCCTTTTTTTTTTGTTCTTCTTCTTCTTTGCTTCATTTTTTTTCCAGCTATGATTTAACAGTTTTTATCCAGTTTGGCCAGCATCTCTTGTTACAGCAACATGGATCTTTAGAATAGGGGCCATGGTGAAATCTGTACCTGAAGTGGTATTAGGACTGGTAACTTTTGTGGATCAGCTATAAGAGCCTTGAGTACTACAGCTGTAAAATACTTGGGGTGTAAGAAGCTCCAGTGAGGAAAGACAGGATTTCACCTGTCCTGGCCAAAGTGCTGGGACTGCTTCCCTTGGATGGCCAGCTCAGAAGTGGGTGAGGTCCCTAGTTGCTAAACACCACCAGTAACAGAGAATAAAATCAGATGCACTTAACAGCCAGAGGAAGAGAAAATAAACTTAATGTCTGCAAAAATAGGGGACTTTCTGAGCTGGATATTGTAGAATGTTCCATTCCTGCTCTGTATCTGTTTATTAGAACAGCTGGTGACCACAGATTTTCACCATTTAATGGGAGGGACTCCTGGGCTGGGCACAGCTCCCTTTATGACAGGTTTGTTTGCCAATACTAATTTTCTACTTAATTATGGTTGTTACTGAGCCCTGGCTGGTATTTTGGGGTGTGAACCTGCAGAGGGAGATCTATATGTTTGTCTTGGCTTAGGTTGCTACTAAACGCACAGAAAACTTGAAAATTGTGAAGAAATGTTAGTGAATAAAAACAGCTGCTTCAAGCTGTGCAATAATACTTTTCTTTTTTGAGATCCAAACTCAAATACAACAACAAAAAAGCTGCTAGTTCTCTGAATGCGATTGAATGTGTTGATAATGACCTCTGCAGCACTGTATAGTTTCCTCAGACCGCCACATTTACTCGTGGCAGTCTTGGTTGATTAACCTGGCAGTGGAAATCCAGTGGGATGCTTGATTTGGCTGTGTCTGCATTTCCATGTTTTACATGCAGTAGGATTCATATTGGAGGACTCCAAACTTGGAAATTCACCTTCTCCTTTCAAGAAACATCTGGGTTGCATGAGTGCATGCTGTAAGGTCTCTCTCTTGCCTAGATGGTTTGATAGAAGAATTTCTTTGATATTGAACCCCAGGAGATGATGCGTATATAAATGTCATATTATTTCAGGTTTTGATATAGGTCATTTAGAATAAACTCAATGTCCTTGTATGTGTTAGTACAACAAGCTCACCTTTAGGTTGTAGCTCTTCCAGTCACATAGTGACATGCTTGTAGGTCTGATGCTGCCTGTTAGAGAAGTGATTTTCCTATTATGACCTGCAGCGTTGCTCGTGGGGGTCAGTGGTGTGGATCCCAGATGTGGGTGTAAAGATGGTCCACATGAGGATCTTTTCCTCTGGAAAAGCTGGGCAGCTGTTGAAAAGGCATCACCAGTACTTCCTGCCTTTCTTCCTTTTCCTTCAAACCTTTGTATAGAAGCCAGGAAGGGAGAACCACGAGTACATAAACACTTTAGGGTCTGTGTATTGTTCTCTGAAATTAAAAAATCATTGCACCCCTTCCTCCCTGCTGTTTAAGTGCAGTCTGGAACCTAATATCTAAAACAATAATTTTATGTGGCTTTATATGTTTTGGGTTTTTTCTGAAAACATAAAATTCAGGATATAAACATCCCCATGTCCTGGAACACTCATAGGAGACAGAGTTTTTTATCTGTTGCATGGAGACAGAGATGAATAGAGAGAAAGATAACATGCTCTCAGGAAAAATCCTGGGAAAAGAAAAACAGTAGCTTGGCGGTTGTTTTTTAAATAAAGAGGAAATTGTAGAAGGGTGATAGAGCTGGCCTAACGTAAACATTATCTGAGACTCCTTATTTCTGAATTACAATGTAAACACCGTTACTGGAATTGCATGAAACAAATCTGATGTTGACTCTCTCCTTGTTCTGTTTCCTAGATCCGGTAACACCTTTTTTCCTACTTCTGAAAAGTTGCTAAGGATTCATTTGATTCGAACACACCACTGGTAAGTACGCTGGATCTGTCTTAATTAAGAGAATGCCTGTTTTGTTACTCTCTTAATCAGGGAATTGTAACTGAAGCTGTAATTACAGCTATAAAGCTGTAAGATGGGACAAGTTTCTCCTGATGGGGGATCCTGGATATCTTACCTGCAAATTTACTTTTCCTTGATACCCTCTAATAGGAAAATTAGCTATTTTCTAGCTTTCCCTTCCTACCCCAAGAGAAGCACCAAGGACTCTTTCATTATTTAAAAGAAAAAAAAAAAAAAAAAAAAAAAAAGGGGGCAAAAAAAAAACCAAAAAAAAAAAAAAAAAAAAAAAAAAAAAAGGGGCAAACAAAAAACCTCCAAAACCCAAATACCACCACCAGTCAAGGATGCCCCTAAACCAACCCCATACCAAACAAACAACCTGAAAAAACAACCCAAAAAAAGCCCCCAGCCAAACACTTCCTCCTCTTGGTACATCTACCAGGAATGGCCAGCAAAAACAAGGGATGCAGAGTGACCTAAACATACCTGGCAACCATAAGATGAACTAGAGTCTTCTGTCCATGTAACTGGTACAGCAGAGGTAATAGAAACCCACAAATTTTTTGCATGCTGTCCTAAGTCCTGGATGCGTAGTCCTCGCCATAACTGTACTCTGATAATGGAAAGAAAATACCCCTTTTTTTTTTTTCTTCCATCCTTTTGTATTAGAGAATATGGGTAAACCTCACATCACATCTTGCTCATACAGCATTAACTCTGACCAGATTTTCATCATCTACTATTGCAAATGAATTTGCAGAAACAGTGGACTTCTGAAAACAGTCAGTCTTGTGCTTATTCCAGCTGCTTCTGGTAGAGCTCTGTCTCAGAGTGTGCCCTGCCTGCATGGAAGGTTTATCCTGGCAAAGGCAGGCTCTTCATGGAAGAGCAAAAGTATCAAGCTTGAGGAGAACAAGATTTGATGCTATATTAGATTTACCCCTCAAGCTCATTTATTATAGTTCCGTTTCCTTACAAGCTGGTTGCATTGGCCTTACTGAAGCTGAGGTTAAGTGTAATATTAAATCAGTTATGATGCAAATGAATCTTGAGTCCCTCTACCTGGGAGGTATCCTATTAATGACCTGCTATCTCCAAAGGTTACTGCCATGAGAACAGTAGTTTGCCCACGCTCGGCTATTCTTAGCAGAAATATAATGCCATCTTTTTGATGAATAAGCTGCATTTGTATCATAAATGTGGTTGTCATTATTTCTTTTCAGCAGTGCTTCTTTAAAAGAGTATGATCAGCAGTTAAATGGTACCCACATACCATTGCATCCTTCAGGGTTAGATGCCGTAAAAAGTAAATAAATGCCTAATGCTTTCTTGCAGAACAATTTGGGCTTTATTTATTTGTTTATAAATCATTAAAATGCTGACTAGATGTATAGCTTGATAATGCTCATAGTCTGCTTCCTGTATACATGGAAATTCCTTATCTGAAAAGTTCCCTGGGCATATGGTGTTTGCAGGTGTGAAAGAATAGTGAGGGATTGGATCTGATTTCCTCTTTGCTTGCAACCATGCCTGTAACCTTTCTGAGATACAGATACTCAGTTATTTGTATCTGCGTTAGATGGAACTTCTGGTACCTAAAGAATTGTTTTATGATTTAGACAAATCAGCACAATACAATATAATGATTTGGAAGAAATTTCTGTAGGAGTTCATCACTGAGACTGTTTCCCAGGATCTCTGCAGGTGAGCGGCTATACTAGGGACACAGACAATGGTTATACTGAAAAAGCAGTATTCTTTAACACCTTGTCTGGAGAGGAAAATGTGAAAACTGGAAAGCCATTTGCTTTCTGGAATTGTGTGCTTGGACAGCTGGTTTTGAAAGGCAGAAGTAGTGTGGAAGAACTGTTAATTGCTTTTGATAAAATCATAGTAAATTACTCAACAGACCCTTCTCTGCCAGCTTGTGGCTCTCATCAAAGGTTTGGGCTATGTAAAATGTGTGTAGCTGCCTGTGTATGCATTCCTTGTCCAGTCTAGTGATGAGGGTTTTAAGCAGTTCCCTTTTACTCAGGTGGCAGCATGGCAGGACTGAATGCACACTCTGATATTACATCTGGGCTAAAGAGAGGGAGCTACCACTTGAGGGAGAGGTGAACTTCTTAAATCATACTCAATGATTCACCTTCTGCACCCAGACTGTCTGAAAGTCTGTGCGGTGACACAAGCTGAATGTCTGTGTAGAATCGCATGTTGAAGTGCTTCTTTTTGATCTTGAACACAGAGAATTTGGCAGTCTGTCAAGTGAGCCATCATAACAATCTGTGAAATAATCTGAGATTTCATTAAAGCTTGAACTTTGTAGTGTTACCTCCGCATAAGTGTGTAAGGCAAAGCAAGTGCCAGGGAGTTACTGTAGCCTGCTACTTGCCACTCAAGTTTAACCTGGCACAGGTCAACTGTAGTCAGTCCTGTGCCCATAAACTTGCACCTACAGATTTTTAATTATTTTTTCCTTTTTAATTGCAGGAAACAACTTCTGTGGGTAAGCATGGGCTGCCGGGATGTGCATGCAGCAACAGTACTGGCCTTCCTCAGTGGAACAGCCTCAGTAGCTGGACTCCTTGCAGCAGTTCTGCTTCCAAACTGGAGGCAAATGAGACTGTACACATTCAACAAGAATGAGAGGAATGTGACCGTTTACACTGGACTCTGGATTAAGTGCGCTCGCTTTGATGGGAGCAGAGACTGTGTGATATATGACCCACAGTGGTACACTGCTGTCGATCAACTGGATTTACGTGTTCTTCAGTTTGCCCTTCCGCTGAGTATGTTAACGGCTGTCTCAGCTCTGTTTCTCTGCTTGATTGGCATGTGTAACACAGCCTTTGTATCGACCGTGCCGAACATCAAATTGGCCAAATGCCTTGTAAACAGTGCGGGCTGCCATCTCGTGGCTGGCCTCTTGTTCCTGCTTGCGTGTGCCATTTGTCTTACTCCATCGATTTGGGTCATTTTTTATAACAATTATCTGAACAGAAAGTATGAGCCTGTCTTTAGCTTTGACATCTCTGTATTTATTGCCATTGCCAGTGCTGGTGGGCTGTTCTTCACTTCCGTCCTGCTGTTTCTGTGGTACTGCGCATGTAAAAGCCTCCCTTCTCCTTTCTGGCAGCCCCTCTATTCGCATGCACCTAGCATGCACAGCTATGCCTCTCAGCCATATTCTGCACGCTCTCGCCTCTCGGCCATAGAAATTGATATTCCTGTTGTGTCACACGCATCTTAAGAAGGCAAAGTTTTGGAAGCCGAGTTGTTGTGCTCATTCAAACCATGAAAATTGCAGGCTTGATTCTCTCTGCTGCCTTGCACTGAGCATAATCATTTGTAAGGTCAAGTTACCCGAGGTGCAAAGCAATGGAGACCCGAGGTCAGCAAGTCCATTGCTGTTCTTGATTGTTACTTCCTGACCAACTTTTTTCTTTAACTCTGAGCTCACTACAAACAAAATTGCTGCTAATGCTGGGACAATACATTAACAATAGTATCCGTCCATCCTTCCGCATACTGAAATCAAAGCGAGGTTGAATCCCTTTGGTATTTGATAAGCTATTACTAGATTCTGATCCCATTGTAAGAGCTACATAGGTGGACTCATGCACCCGTGCATTATCCACACACCAGCGGTGGACCTGGGTGCAGGGGCTTCACTGAGTTTCTTGTTCATCTAGACACACATGTTTCAAGGTGCAATGTTTGAAAAGGGTATTTGGCAGACCAATTCAGTTCTTTGGCACTGTTCTTTGTATTCCACTGCACACACAAAAAGCTACGCCCTTACCCTTTATTTTCAAAGTAGCTATCAGAAGAAATAAAACTGATTTAACTAATAATGTTCTGTACTGTAATAGCATTTTGTGAATTACTGGAGGCTAGAAACTTTTTTGAATTTTACTTCTAGTCTGTTTTTTAGTAAGTTAGCAAATTCGCTAGATCTATTTTGTGATTAAAACCCACTTTATTTTAAAATGCTGTTTAGAAATGTGAATATTTTATTTGAAAGCCATCCTAAAGATGGATTTTCAGGTCAGCTTTATACTGTTACTCAGTTCTGGAGAGAAGTTTCACTCAATGCAAAATGGATTAGGAAAACCATGAAGAATTCTGAAGGCTGTGAAAGACTCTTTTGGAACACTGTACACAAGCTATAACAACATCTCTCTAGGAAGGGGATTACAACCCTGGGGAGAGATTTTTTTTAAGTCTAGATTGGTTTTATTGTGTTTTTTCTTAATGTATATACAGGTAACAACAAGCTTGTGTATTTTTCAGAGTTGATCTTTATGGTTGTTGGACTCTTAATGCTGTAGCTTATTTAATTACTGATTAAGACATAATCTTTTCAGCCTTGTTCTTCAACACCTTTCAAGTTAAGCTGTTTTAAAATCCAGTTATCTCCTATCCTGCCACCTCACAGCTGGAAAAAGTTTCCTATTCCGGTTTTCTGTAAAATTAGGTTTTGAGTAACTTGTGAGCTTCATCTTGTAGCTCTACAAGGATGAAGAGGGATTATAAATTCTCAACCTGGGATGTCTTTAAATAATGTTTTTCCTTCTAAAATGCAGAGCAGGTCAGCTGTAAGGGTCAAAGATTTTCAATATGGGCTTTGCAATTACTTGGACATTTGATGACAGTGAGTTGAACAGTGTCATAATTAAGGCAAGTATTTGATTTGCTCAGATTTTGGCAAACAGATCTTGTATTTTAAGATGTCATTTCAGTAAGGAAAGTTCTTTTGATTGGTGGCCTTCTGGTGCTTAGTGGATATTTGTGTTTCATTAATCCCAGAACAAATATGCTTTGCTGAAAAATCAGGTTCTTTAATTCCAGTTCTGCAAGCTCAGCTGAGGTCCTGAAAGTCAATTCATTTCCTTCTCCATGTATTATAGAAATAGGAACAAATGCTGTGCTGGGCAAATCTTGTTCTGTTACAGTCTGCACGATAAGAATATATTAAGAGGAATCATTGAGTTTTAACTGATAGACCTTGGACTTCAGTGGACTGAGTGAGGAAGCTGATCTCTGTCATAAATTCCCAGCACAGTCTGTAAAGTGACAAGCCTTTCAAACAGAATGCTTGATTAAATTGTAGTTGAAGTAATTAACATGGTAGATGATAAAGAATGCTTAAGGAGATAGGCTTCTAAAGTTACATGAATTTAGTACCCTCTTAGGTTTACAAAGTATGATGTTAGATAAATTATCTTTTTTTATCTTTCAATCAGATTATGACTTGTATGGAATTAGAACACGTATAAAGACATGCAAGCCAGCTGTTATTTTCTTCAAAATTGACCTTTGCTTTACAGTTACTCTGGTTGTCCAACCTCAGGTACTGTTGCTGTTTTCAGCTGCCCATATCCTTAGATTCTTTGTTAGTTCAAAGCAAAGGGACCACTGGTTTGTAATTTCATGTCAGCTTGCTTCCCCTTCGCTCCAGTGTCTTTTCTTCATTGTGCCTTGCTTAAGTTATGAGTTGGCCAGTAAATGTTAGTTTACAGTCAGCATCTGGTATGCTTTTTGAGCCTGAATTTGCAAAGCATTTTGATCATTTTGGAGTGATGATGAATGCATCTCTCAGTGACTTTAAAAGGAGCTGAATCTTCAACATCTCCAGAGAAAGAAAGGCAGCATGGCAAAGTGATGTTTTCTACAAGACAGTAAATGCAGCCAGTGTTTTGTTCTGTACACTTTAAATAGTAGATGTCTCTGACAGCTCTTTAGTATTCTGACTTTGATTTTTATGCACTAAACTTCCATTTGGTATTTGCTGCTGCCTAAGCTGATAACTTGTTGCTTTGAAAATTGTGTCTTTGCAGAAGACTGAGATGGATCTGTGTTACGACAAGTGGGGATCCAAAAGCTAGTGGATTCCGGCGTAGGTTTCAATTAAGGTCATCTTTATTAAAAAGACTGTTGCGTCATGTTGTATCACTGAAGCACGGCTGGGTTTCTGTCATCAGTGCTGTTAATGTGAATTTCTGCTGGATCCTAAGTGAAATTAACTGCAAGTGCTGTGCTGTATTTCTCCTTCTTTACAGAAAGAGGTGGCCAACCTGTGACACTTGAGCCCAATGCCACTCCAGCATTTCTCGTGCTAAGGTTACCATCATACCCAGCAGTGGGGCTGGGTAGTGACAGGTCTCCCTGGATTTTGGGAGAACAACATAAGTATCTGCCAGGGAACAGCTGCTGTGGAGCGGTTGGCACCTCTGCCTCTGACCAGCGGCTCCTTCCTGGGCACTTTGCTGTGTACAGGACAGGCACTCTGGGGCTTGCACACAGGAAAATTTTTATTTGCGGCTCAGGCAGTCAAAGGTTGGGTGCTCTGGGATTATGGGAATCTGTATTTTTTTCAAGTAATTCCTGTCCAACTTCTTAAATACTGTTTAATTAAAGTGTTGGTTCTTTTTATGTGAAATGGAAGATACGTATTTTTAATAAAATGTTCTCATACAGTTGCAGTTTATTTTGATTCATTGTGTGGAAAATACATGACTGCCTTAATGTGTGAATGTCATTGGACATCCCAGGGACTTGTGACCGTCCAGAATGACAGTAACTGTTAGTGATGCTTCGTTTCTGTTGTGTGCTGCTCCTGGCAACTGCAGCTCAGTGGTGTTACGGTGACTCAGTACTGAGCCTTTCGCCATTGTTAGGGGGCAAAATACAAACCCTTTGTACGTTAGAAATGCTGATGCTGTAGTGCAAGCTCACAAAACTTGGATTACTTATGCAGAATATAATGAGACTTGCTGGTAATTCCTCTGTAGATTTCTAGTATCCTAAACTGGTGTTCTAGTACCTTTTTTTAATCTGAGGAAGTAGCGTTTATATGAGAACAATTCTCATGGAGCATGCACAGTATAAAGCAGTTGTTGCCAGCACTACAACTCACTTGAGGGGCTGGAAAAATTATTTTATCTTCTCTGCTTCTGTGGGTTCATTTCCTCCTTTGCTGTCAACTTTCAGACAGGCTTCCTGTCCAAGAGCTGGTATAAACCTAGGGGATAGTTGGGTGTTGACATCAATACTGCAGAGAACTCAATTTGTCCTGAAACATGGGAGTGCCTCATTTTTTTTTTTCGTATTAAAATTACTAAAAAACCTACCCCACATATTTGTTATCACTGAAAGCAAATTTCTTGGCAGATTTTCCTGTTTTATTTCACAGGAATTGAGTTCACATATGTGTTTCAGCGGGTATGTAGTGTTACTTAGCCCTTCACGCATCTACTGAGCGGGCAGGTAACACACTCTAGAAGCAGCATAAGCTTTTCTGTACGTTTTGTGTTCCACTGCTGCATTGGCATTCCTCAAGATAAACACACAGAGGCCTCGTCAAAGGGTAAGAGGGTGTTTTCTGATTTCAAAACTGCTTCTTATCTGTGTTCCAAACAGTCATTCAGGTATTAGGCAGCTAGGGATGGGGGCTTGTCTTTTGGGTGTAGCAGCTGCAAGGAAACGTAAAGGCTGAGTGCAGGGCAGTAGAAATTGAGGTGAGCTGGAGAGTGGTTAAGGCTGATTTTAAGAGAGAGACCAGAAAGCTGGACTTCAAGAGCAGGGTGGTTTTCCTAGTTTCTGTTTAACAAAAGAAAAATATGTAGTTAAAAGTATGTGAATAAGCTTCACTTATCACCAAAGACTCCCAGAATATGATAAACAAAACATTGAAAACACAGTGTATGAGTAGTGCCCAAGCAGTACATGTCCTTGGGAACCACAGATGTTGACCCGAGGGCTGAGCACCACTCCCTAGCTGCCTGCCATGTCAGAAGTTGCAGCGGCATTTTAGCACCAAGCTCCAGCCTCTCTGTAGTCTCACTACCCTGTATTACAGCACTTCCACCAATTGGAGGGTCTGTAACCACTGATACTGCACCAGTTTTCTTCCCAAAGCCACAACATGGTCATAAATAAATATGCAAGATCATTTACAAATTCACATTGGAGTTTAAATAAATACTAGCTGTTAGGTCAAAAATAAGTTGTTTCCTAAAACAGGTCCTGGATGTATCTTTAACAATGCAGACATGTTCTGACCTATTAGGGCTTCAGCATGTGATTTGATGGGCTTAAGCATATGTAAATGTTGTCTGCTACCAGAAGATGAAAACCCATCTTCTTGCTCCTTTTGCTATTTATCTTTTCTGCTTATTTAGTTTTCAGCCTCCCAGGCAGTTAATCTGGTCTCTCTCCTGGTCACAAGCTCTACTGCCAACACAAAGGAAGAAGTGAGTGGACGTGGAAGGGCAAGATGGCAGCCTTAGGTTGATTCATCAAGTCTTGCTCTGAGACCTTTGTTTTCTCACTTAATGATCAATTTACATAAGAAAGACTGTGCTAATTTGATTTTTTTTAAGGTGTGTTGTGTTTATTAATTGTAGAACTTGTTGAAAATGCTGCATTTCAAGAAAAACATTGACCATTTATTAGCAAGGCAAAAAATAACGTTTCAAAACATTTCAAAGTTTGTTTCATTTCATCCTAATTCAGTTAGAAAAAGAAGGTATGGCGAGGAAAAATGGTAATGAAGCATAAAAAAGATTGGACTTTTTTATTGAATTTGAAGAATACACTACTTTAAACCATGTATGTCTTAAAAAAATCTCAACTGATAATGATATTAGAAACTAAGAGCTAATTTTTTAATAAATGGTGTCAGATATTAAGATATTTGCATTAGCTTATAGGTGAGATCTGAATGATTTAGTGTTATCTCTGTTTGAAGACTCAGCATTATGGATGACTATTATTGCACTGTTTGACTCTT